TTTTTTTTTTTTTTTTTTTTTTTTGGTACCAGGGATTGAACTAGGGCCCTTGCGCTTTCGAGGCAGGTGGCAAAGCCACTGAGCCAAAACCTTGGCAGTATTTTCAATTTTAAAATAAAAATAGTTTGGCATTTTCTCCACCCTCTAAAATCTATAAAGAGCTAAGTACTTTAAAAAAACTAGTTCTTAAATATTCATAGTCAACCGTAAACACAAATCATTAGCAAATTAAATAGATGTTGGTACGATATCATAAAACTTTCAAAATTGATTAAAGAAACAATTAATTGACTTCCACAGTCAGACAGTCCTAATCCTCCACTTTTACTGTTGCAGCACTTATTTAAACTGTTTAGTTGGTGATTATTAGAGTACTTGATAAATAAATTTAACAAAGTCATGAAATAATTAATTTATACATTAAAATGTAATTTCTGTTCATTATTAAAATCAAACTACAGTTTTTAAGAGCTTTCCCACAGTAGGTGGGAAAATGGTTTTCCTTTGGTAAGAAATGCTCCACATTTTTAGAAGTACATATAGTTGATCTTGGGGGATGTAGAGGGCCTTTGGTGTGGTATGGGCTGATAAAAGTTTATAAATATGCTTTTAAAAAATACACTAACAATTTTCAATTTGTTATGGCATGAGAGATGATTATTATTATATTAGCATGGAAAAAAAGATATATACACCCTACATATTAGAAAGGAATGCCTTCTGATAAGTTTCCTCAGAAATTCTTTTTTAAAGTCTTCAACAAATAAGTTCGATCTCTGGTAACAAAAAAAAACAAAAACAAAAACAAATAAGGATCATATACCACGGGCCCTCAGTTAACATCACCCTCAGTGATGAAAATGTGAAAATTTGTTCTCTACAATTTGGAGTATATCAACTCTCATCACTTAATAGCAGGCATTCATTTTTGTTTAGATTTTACAAATAAGGCATAAATAAATAGAGTCTTAGTATATTTCCTCCAATGATGGCAAATTGTACTTTACTGTTATTATTCAACTGCATGGAAAATAAAAGATGTTTTAAATGAGGAATGAAATTCATTATCAGTTATAAATTTCATTTAATAATGACAAACTATACCATACTAGCATGTACAACTAACCAACAAAACAAAAAAGATAGGAACAAATTATTGATAAAATGAACAAATATGAAATATATAAATTGGGCTTATCTATGGAACCGAGATTATATTTTTTCCCCCATGGTCAACTAAAGGGTGATTAACATTTAAACACAAAGGTTATTTGACATTTAAGTACAAAAGTTTCTCCCTGAGTTAGTTTAGATTTACGGAATCATTCCTACCAGCATTTTTTCTGAAGCTGCATCTTATGCAAGATGAGATGCTCAAGCACATGACTCAGCTGAGGACTATTACTCTGAACACAAAACCAAGCAGCAACACAATGCCAGAGCAGGGCATTAACTTCATATCCTCCATGATTACTGCGCAAGTATGCCTGGAATTAAAATAAAAAACACATCTGGGAAAGACTTCTTCGACTCATTAAGAAAAACACACACATGAAAATAAATGTTTAAATACGTATTTTCTTACACTTCATGTTTCACTGATGGGCACAATTATATAAGTGTACTTTTATAAGTATATATCATTAACCTGAATCTAGTGTATATATTTTCACACAGTATATTTAATGATATGAGTTTTATAATAAAATCCTTCATCTTCGAAGGGACAACTTTTATACATGGTTGCATTTCGGAGACTCGATGTGACTTAGTTTTTCCCTGACACCAGAGGAAAGATGAACAGGAGAAATATGAATATGAACAAAGATCTTCCACTAGATTTTAAAATATGAATTTCTACTTTTAAAGAACAAAATGTATGCCTTGTAGGATTATGACAAGATTAATGTCTGTTAAGCATCTTAAGACCTTTTAAAAGCCTGCAAATTCAGATAACAAATGGGCTACTGTTTATTTTTTCTCAGAATACTTCCTGACAATTTCATAGGTTCAATTGGCATACTAAAGTAAGTGAGAGGGAGCCGGGGATTTAGCTCAGCGGTTCTGCCGCCTGCCTTGCAAAAGCTCAAGAACCGGAGTTCGATTCCCGGTACCAAAAAAAACACAAAAAAACAACAAAAAATAAAGTAAATAAGATACAACAATGACATCCCACTCTCACTGAGTTTTGCCAAAAGTGAAGATACAAATGTACATTCTGCTTTATGCACCCAAATTGCTATCTTAGCTGATATTTTGTCCCATTACAAAAGAAATTCATAGAAACTGAAGGACTTCCTAACTTTTATTACATAAAATAACAATTCAACTTCAAACATAATATTCATGTTAATATCCCTAAGCTAGAAGAAAAGAAATCCATACATAAATTCATGCTTCATCATTTTAAGTTTCTAGTAAACTGTAAGTTGAGTACCACAGTTATATATTGCTTTGCTTTATGTCAGGAACTCAGCTGGATGCTGAAGATAAATGCCTAACTGAGACAAAGTCCTCACAAGCCTACAGATGCTGAGGAACAAAAATTCCTAAAGGGAAATGGAAACAAATCAGTATTTGGGATGTTAGACTACTCCACAGCAAAGCTCTGTTCCAAAGTGATGGAAGGGAAGGCACGGACTGAGACATGCTGACTTCGGGAAATGTACACATAACTCAATCTTCTGCTTTAGGGTGAAGCCCATCCAAAGAGTGGAGCCCATATAAATGAAATTCTCTTCCGAATTTACTATAGATATATCGACCTGGATGCCGGACAGTCCTCAAGTTATAAATTTATTCTGTATCTCTTCTTCCTCTTCTCTTCTTCTTCTTCTTCTTTTTTGGTAATGGGAATTGAACCCTGGTCCTTGAGCTTGCGAGGTAGGTTGCGGAACCTCTGAGCTAAATCCCTGGCCCCTGTAAATTTATTCTGAATAAATAGGTACCTACACATATTTGAAACTTCGAAATGGCTTGACTAATTAATTCAAAATAATTTTTTTAATAATCATACATAGTGCAAGGCTACGAAGAATTCTCAGTTAGGTCAAAAATTCTTCTGCTAACACACTTATGTTCCATCAGCAGAGACAATTCCTGGAAGCATTTGATAAAGAAAAGATAAGGATTGGACAATGAACAAGATTTACATCTTATTTTAAATTATGTATGATGCTATTATTACTCATTCTTGAGAAAGATACAAAGCAGTTTCTGACATCTGGGACTGATTTGATATTATGTTGTTACAGTCTGGTCTGACACTCACAGCCAAGTGATTTTTATCTCTCACTGGACAAAAATTCACAAAATACACCTCATGCCTCATGCATGCACTAGGAAGGCAGAGGCAAGAGGATTGCTGTGAGTTCAAGGCCAGCCTGGGCTACATGGTGAGTTCAAATTCAGTCTAGAACACACAGTGAGAGCTTGTCTCAAACAAACAAACAAACAATATCACTTCAAATATTACTGAGACTGTGATAAGTAAACAAAGCCACTTGACAACATTTTCCCCAAGCACACCACAAATAGTCAATTGGAGAATTGCCCCTACTTCCTAACAGTGCAGAATGTGAAGGGAAGCCTAGCTTCCTTAGCTTCTCTCCAGATAAGATCATGCAAAGTGAGACCTTATCATAGATGCATTCCTACCCAACCCCTGCTGAGACACCTCATGGCTCCCTGTGATAACCTCCTTCCCCCAAAAACAAATAAACCCAATTTGCCTAGCTGCAGATGTGCTCCTTAAGGACATTAACATCTCCAAGAGCAATTTTAGGAAACTGAGTTGAATTTATACAATCACGATTGTTATGTGATTAGTGAATACAATCATTATCTGCCTAGTAGGCCCACAAGGAGCAACGGTTTGAGAGTTATGAAGTGGTTTATTTCTTTGCCTTTCCACTAAAACAGTCCTACTGTAGATGTGCTTGGCAGATAAGTGGCATCTGCTACTGTTAACAAGATTACAGAAATTTTAGGATCCATATGTAGCAATTTTTATAACAATTTTACAATATAATTATATACATATTCAGTCTAATAAAAATTAAGATGTGTTTTTAAGGACTGAGCACAGCATTAAATGATTTGCCAGTGAAGGGTTTTTTCTCCCTTTCTCCTTCCCTCCCTCTCTTTCCTTTTGTTTCTGTTTTTGTCTTGATGGTTTCCTACAGTTCTTCCCTCTTCCTCCTTTGTTGTGGACTCCTGCTTGCAGCAGTGTTAACTCAGATCCAGAAGCCTACCTACAGAAGTGTTTCTGAGAGTTCCAACCAGCGCACCATCTTGAATTTAATAAAAATTAAGCCTATCAGTTCTGACTATTTGAACTTCTCTTTTATAAGAGAAATAAGCTTTGAAGGATGGGCTCTGTTTTGGCTGCTCACATTCAGCTGACTTTTATTCTGTTTTCAGTCATTGGAGGGATATTTGACATTGCCCTAAGAGGATCGCTCAATACAAATGTGTTGCCTGGATAACGGGACATGAACCACACTACAATGCTCCTAATGTTAAAGAACCTGTGTCTTACTATAACCCAATTCCTAGTATCCACTTGCAGTTACAGTATATCAAAAAAGTCCCAAATTTGGTTAGTGCCTTTGGAACTCTTACAGAGTCACAGAATGAGATTGTTGATCATATTAGAGTGTAAACTCTGTGTCTGCTAGTTTTCAGGAAACTGTGCTTCAGAACAGATGAAACTATGTATTAAGGGATCTACTCCATTTTAGCTGAGTTTAAAGCTCTCTCTCCAAAGACCTATGTTGTTATTACCATGTATGACAACTATGCTGAGAGAAGCCAGCTTTGCTATTGAGCAAAGGACAGGGTGGAAAACTCAATCCAGTGTTCTGGCTTTGCAGTCTACAGAGCTAAAGTATACCATTTGTCAAAGTCAGTAGAATTCCTAATGTTTTAATACTTAAAAACAAAATCCTTCCTTATATGAAAGAATGTGTGTTCCTTGGTAATTATAACCAAAAGACCTAAATTACATTAGTAACTATCACTCTTTATAGAAATGGTTCATCAGTAATGAGCCAAACTCCTAGGCCTAGAAAGATTATAAATAGATGTAGAAAAAGATATCGTTTTCTTATAATCAATAGCTAATGTTAAAAAATGCCCAATGGAAACATGGAAGACGGAGGTCACACATAAATAATGTTATTTAGAAAGAGAATCTTTCTTAAATTACTTTAGTGTTTTAACTTACAGTATGCTTTTGAGAAATGAATTTCTAGGGCCGGGGATTTAGCTCAGCGGTTCGGTCGCCTGCCTTGCAAGCGCAAGGACCCGAGTTCGATCCCTGGTACCAAAACAAAAACAAACAAACAAAAAAAACCCAACAACACTAAAAAATGAATTTCTACTTATAAACTATAAGCTAATAAATACAGATATAAAAATAAAATAATGAGTTAGTTTCAAAGTGCTCACTGCCTTTCTTGTGGAAATAAAATAAAGACATCACTTCAGAGACTAAAGTCCGTCTATGAAATAAATCAGTCTGTAAAGATCATGTGCAATTATATGGCTCAAGTGCTGTGTTTGCATAATTATAGGTATTACATACCAAGGAATTATATAATTAAGAGAGAGAGTTGTATCTAAGGTTACCACTTATTTCAGTGCCTTTGGAAGTGCCTTTGCAAATGCTAGAACTTATCACTAGATTTTCATGCTTTTAAGATATGATAAATGTCATCTTTTGAATTTGATGCATGAATGTTTCATGAATGAGATGTAGCAACAGTTTTTAATATTAATCTTGTAAATAAAATTATTACTTCATTAGAAAAAATAGATTTTTAATGTACTAATAATTATTTTAATTCCTCAACTTGAACTATATTTTAAAGTTTTTAGTTGATTTTAATAGCACATTCAATATTATTGCAGATGAATTGTGGGAGAATAAACTATTACACTTGTTTTTGTACTTTACACATTTTCCTTACAGTACAAATAAAATACTTTAAAATATTAATTTATAAGTCAGCACATATATATATTTATATTTGTTTGTTTGTTTGTTTGTTTTTTGAGACAGGGTCTCACTATGTAGTTGAGACTGACCTGGAACTCACTATGTAGCCTAGGCTGGTCTCGAACTCACAGCGATCCTCCTGCCTCAGCCTCCCAAGTGCTGGGATTACAGGCGTGCGCTACCATGCCCAGCTAGCCAGTATAAATTCTGCTGCACTTTTACATTAAACAATTGACATGGATCCCATAAGGAGGAGGTGTCCTGGCATTACTCCATTTACAGGAGTAACAGTGGTGATGCCCCATCCAGAAAATGTGCATATGGTTGCATAAAATTAGTGGATGTTGCCCATTCTTGCTCCCCAGTCTCCACCAGCTAAACTCATCTTCAGCAATGCCTGGTGAATTGACAACCATAATTATCACCATGGCAGGATACAGCCACCATATCAGATTACCTACCATATCAGACTCTTTGTCCTCAAATCCTTCCTTATTTTCCACAGTGCTAAAAGCTGGCTCAGAAAGGAGTTCTCTTTCATATATAATTTCTAACGTTTTCAGCATGAACTGGACATTTGAAAAGATGTTTGGATACTTATGATACGACTCTCCAGAGGATAAAAGTGCTATTGTAAGAAAAACATTGCAGGAAATGTCTGATTAATGTCTTGCATTGTGTTTCATATGTCTCTTAGACAATACACGAAAATAAAATTCAGTACATGGGTGGTGAAACTGTTTTACAGTTCACAATCCAGTGGATTTATAATGTTATGTTTGCCCCCTGGTGGTGCAAAAGAAAACTGCAAGGCAAATAATTCAAGCACAAGAGTATATATAATTTAGAGCAGGATTGCATAATGGTTGAATGCCCAATTAAATATTGTTACTGCTCAACAATGCTTAGTAGCTTCCAGCTGAAAGTAAATCAAGTTATAATAGATACTCTATTCATAATGGATACTTTGAAATTGAAATTCTATGAACAAATCAATGTCAGCTTCTAATGTAACATTCTCATTTTCTTTCTTTTCATGTTATTGATTTTAAAGCACATATTTATAAAATTGGCAACAATTATGTAAATTAACATAAAACATTGTGATATTTAACAGGACCATCTTTGTTGAGTTCTTTTTATGAACTCTTAGACAATCTTTGAGTTTCACTCCTTTCACACAGTGGAAATCATTAGTGATAGCCATTCTTCTACTAGACAGCTATATGGATGGGTAACAGCTGCTGATGGTGCTGAGTAGAAAACAACTTGTTGCTAAAGATAGAGATGTACCCTAAAGCTCTATTTAACAGAATTTGGTAAAAGAGTAACAAGGAGTGTTTATACTTTTTTTTTTTAAGAGGAAAGGTATTGGTTTCTTTGTAACACATCTGCAGTAACAAACTAATATGAGAACTTGAGGTTTTGTTCAAATAATTTCTCAAAATCTATCAGCCACCATATTCTGAATATTTGATAAATCACTATGCTGAACCCTGATATTAGAAGATTTATAGTTTATTGAAAAAGATCAAACATGTTTCTAATTCTACTAACCTACAGCCTCCTCCTGGCTTCCTTTTGCATCAGGACATGCGGTAGTGGTGCAAACAAATTGGTCTCTATGCTGGTCTCTGTGAAGGTCTCTGTGCTGACCTTCTATTCTCTCTTCAATGACTTTTCCCATCTAATATCCCCTTAATTTCTCTTGAGCCTTTCTATTACTGTATAACATACCATGTTCTTTTCTTTTAATTTGATTTTCACCCTAAGTATTGATTCATTTATATGTTAGTATAAATACTTATAGCTACACTTTTAAAAATATTTCTTAATCTTGGCTGTGTACAAACATTTTACCTTATTTTTTACCTCCAGTCTGAATTTTGCTCCCCGATCTCCGCTGGGGAAGCCCCCAAGATGGATGATGACGTTCTGATTCCAGAAACTTATCCCCACTTCTCAGATCTCCTCCTATTTAACACTTTCAGAGTTCTTGATGATGTTGATCTTCCTAACTTTTCTCCTTGGACGTCATTTCTCCCTCTTACATTCCTGAATTCTGTTACTGGCCTTGTTATTCCAATAATCCATTAAACATTTACGTTCCCAAAGATTCACTTTTGAGGATTAGTTTCTCTATACTCTACTTCTCAGCCTCAGGTTATCTCAGCTACATTAAGATGGATGATTCTAAAATTTGTATTCCAGACTTCATTTTTTTCTAAGTTAACTTTAAATTCAGTATGTATAATGGTTCTCAAAAATTAAACCTCAGTGTTTAAAATCTGAACTTAATCCTGAATTTTTCACTTTTCTTCACTTATTGCATAGACACAATCCTAAATATTTTAAAAACTACTTTACCACATACAATTCTCACATCTTTTATTCTCTTCCTCAACAATTCCTTTTTGTCAGTATATGAGTGAGCACCTATTATGTGTATGCTGAATTGCAAAGCACAGGATGGTTCTCCCTATTGTTCTCAATCAAAAACCTGAAAAACTTCTTTCAGGTACCAATGCAGAACATTCTGTGTGTGCACGGTCTGTTGCATTTGGCTCATGCATCCACTTTCTCCTTACCCCAGCCCATTTATAGGTCCTTCAGAATACCCTATTGAGATATGAATTTGACTTTTTGAAAAGCATTGTTGGTAAGTATTACTAGAGATGAGGAAACTAAGTCATAACCACTGTCATACATTTAGGTAGGAAGTGAAAAGCAGAGCACAGTAACTGGTTACCAAAGGCTGAAGGAGTTAAGAGGGAAAGGGGAAATGTTAGTTATGAGTACGATGTTCCAATTAGGTGGAAGGAGTAAGTCAGAGGGATCTATTACACAGGATGTTGACTATGTTAGCAAAATATATGCTTCAGAGTTGTGTAGATTTTAAATGTTCTCATCACAAAGTAATAACAGGCATATAGGAGCAAAAACAAAGCTAAACAAATGCTGTCTGGATCAGAAACTAACACTACACACCTATTATCTTTCATGAAAAATAAAATGCATGTTATGGTCTTCACAGTCTGAGCTTTTTAAAATGTAACATATAACATTTATAAGTTGAAAAAAATAAAAAAAGGTACTCTACCGTATGAATACGGTTGAAGTCTAAGCAAATGTTCTTTAAAATTTGCTAGTTGACCATGCAGGAAAAATATAAAAAGACGTAAGAAGATCAAAAAGCCAATCTGTCAAGAGAAAAAAGATTAAAATACTTTTGTGTTGCATCAGTGAATGTCTAAAACCAAACAAAATAAATCATTTTATTATCACATTTACTTTTAGGAAAAATAATTTCAAACTCACTTGATATCATGTGGTTTTGAAATAACTTTAAAACATTTGTATTAATGAAATGCTAGTCAGCAAAAGTAATTCATAAATCATTTAAATGTTACAGTCCACCAATGCTGAATGTTATTTTGTTCTGTACACTTTAGAACAGTATTTTCAAGTTGCAGGTAACGATCCCAAGTGATTCATAGTACTGATGAATTGTTTAAATAAAATTAAAGTGAAAAGAAACCATCACGATATATTTCATAATTCCTTTGTTTCAGTATGAGTGAATGTATATTATATGTATGCTGGATCATAATGAGAACAGGAAACGTGAGTCGCAAAACAGTGTGGAAAAAATTACTTTAGATAGCACTGAGAAATATTACACTGTATTAAGCTCTCCACTCCAATGCAAAGAAAGTCATTTTTAGAGAGCACTGTAAAATCTTTTGTGATGTTTAAACCAGCTAAAAATAGCTTGGTTTGCATAGATTACATAAAATGGAATATTTGCAAAAACAACACACAGGATTTCACATAACATTATAATAAAACATAAATTACACAAATAAATAGAATACATGCTGTGTAATTTGCTAAATCATGGAGGTGAACCAAACACTAACAGTAATTGTTACTACCTAGTGTGTGTTATATATGTGTGTATGTATGTGAAAAATATCATAAAAAAGAAAAAAGAAATATCAAGTCCTCTTAACTGTAATGTAGTAGTGCTGAATGTTGTCAGATGTGCATGTTAAAATATAATAAAATAAATTAACCTAACTAAGTCTCAAGTACTATTAAGCAAATAAGTGGCATTTCAGGACCTTGAACCCAAGACTGTGAATATTGTCCCAGATGGCATAAATTCTTATTATAGCAGGATTTTCAAATATTTATTTATAAATCTCTATCATTAAAATAAATTTGAGGATGAAGCATCAGTATTCATAAATGTTTCTATAAATTTTTAACATGCACCATTTGTAGACTTAGAAAATAAATAAGAATAACATGTTTGTAAGGCATGTCCAGTGTGTGCGGAGGGTCTTTTCATATATACCATTTTGTGACAGCACTATGCTGCTCTAAGTGATTGAAATTAAATGAGAAAGAGCTAAAGATCTAAAAACTACATAAAACCATATAATATTCTAAATGAGAGTATTATAGGAAACAACACCCATCATTATAGACAATGAGTAAAAAACGAGTTAGGAGGAGAAAATTTGAAATTTTTGAAGGAATAAGAGGTAGACATGGAGAGGAAAATTAATTAATGTTAAAATGTAATATGGCATAAAAGATAAAATTCTGTATTATACTTCAATTGAGTCAAGAATTTCACCTGATTCACAGGTTATCTATAGTTATAATATGCTTAGAAAAATTACTTTAACATCTTTCATTTTAGTAATTAACTAAACATAGGAAGTGAAAGACCTCTGTAACAAAAACTTAATACTTAGAAAATGGAGATTGACAACTACACCAGAAAATGAAAATCTATCTACTGTTCCCATATAGGAAGAACAAATATTGTCAAAATGGTCATACTTCCAAAACTGATATATGGATTTAATGCAAATCCAATCAAAATATCAGAAGAATTACTCACACAACTAGAAAAAACTTATATGGAGCAGAAGTGATTCCGAATAGCAAAAGCAATGTTGGGAAACATGAGCACAACAAGAAGCATCACAATGCTGGATTTAAAGTTATATTATAAAGCTATAGCAATAAAAAAACAGCACAATACTGACACAAAAACAGACATGTGAATCAATGGAACAGAACAGGATGCAGAAACAACTTCAGGCACATTCAGTATCTGATCTTTGACAAAGAGGCCAAAAACATACACAAAGGATAGACAGCCTCTTTAACAAATAGTGCTTATAGATTTAAATATTAAAACAAAAACACTAAACTTGCTGGAAGATAGGTAGAACTCTCAAAGACACTGGCATAGGAAAAGACTTTATGAACAAAACCTCAGAAGCACAGGAATTAGCACAAAGAATCAACAACTGGGATCTCATCTTATTAAAAAGCTTCTGTATTTCAACAGAAACCACCAACAGAAGTAAAAAACAATATACAATGTGGGAAAAAAATTTATCAGCTGTTTCTCAGACAAAGAACTACTATCTAGAATATATAAAGAACTTAAAAGAGTCAGAACCCCCAAATTTAAAGACCAAATTGAAAAATGAGCATCTGAAATGAATAGACATTTCTCAGACAAACAAGTAAAAGTAGCAAATAAACATATAAAAAAAATGTTCAGCATCACTGGTCATTCAAGAGATACAGATGAAAACAACACTGAGATTCAATCTCACCCCAGAAAGAATGGTTGCTAACAAGAAGTTGACGAATAACAAATGTTGGTGCGGTTGTGGGGAGAAAGGAACCCTTCTCCATTGTTGGTGGGAGTGCAGACTGGTGCAACCACTGTGGAAATCAATATGGAAATTCCTCAAAAATCTATGATTAGAGGTCCCATTTGACCCAGCTATACCTCTGCTGAGTATTTTCCCAAAAGAATCATAGCACAGTGTATATATGTACACCCATGTTTACAATGGCACAGTTTGTAATAGATAAAACTTGGAAACAGCCCAATTGCCCATCAACTGGAAAAGAAGATGTGGCTTTTCTATAAAATGGAGAACTACTCGGCCATAAAGAATGAGAAATTAGAGACATTTATAGCTAAATGGATGTACATTGAGGATACACTCTTATGTAAAATAAATAGTGTATAAATACCGAATAGTTTCTCTGGTATGAAAAACTGAAAGTGTAAAGGAGGATTAAAATGAATAACGGACCATGTGAAATAGGAAGAAAAAGGTACTGAGCCTAAGGGGAAGTGGAAGGGATAGGGGAAAGGAAAGAAGGGAAAGGAAAAAATATGAGATAAGAAATAAATGAAAAAAAAACTTGTAACTAGGGAGGGATGGAGGGGTTGAAGGAGGGCTGGGGAATGGGGATAATATAAGAACCAGGATATGTCATATAAAGGTACAAGTTCCCAATGATGAAAGTAATGTATTGTATACCTAAAATGTACCAATAAAAGAATTTAAGAGAAACAAACAAAAAAGAAAAAAACAAACAAAAAACAAATGGTGCTGAGATATCTGGTATCAACTTGCAGAAAACTGAAACTAGACCAATGTCACTCAACATGTATTCAACTAAAATAAAAAGGATCATAGATCTATATATAAAAAATAAAAATTCATGAAGTCATAGGCATAGGTAAGGAATTTCTGAATAGAACCCCCACATCCCAAAAACCAACATCAAGCATCAACAAATTTAAGAAAGGAAAAATAATGGAAACAAAGCTTTTCTAATATGGAGGAGAGGGGTTGAAGGATGGAGAGGGAAGTGGAATAAAAAGAGGAATCAAGAAAATCATATACAAGTACAAATTCTCTTTGATGAATGGGATCATTATGTACATTTAAATTGTAACAGTAAAATTAATTCAAGAGAAAAGAATTGACAAGTGAAATTCTATTAAATTCAAAAGCATCTGCACAGTTGGACTCAGAGCCCTCTCTCCTGCACGGCCTCCTCTGGAGCCGCGCCATTTCCAGTGGGCACCACTGATTGGCTCAGTCACAGTGGCAGGAGGGTAGCAGCATGGGCACCACTGAACACCGCCGCCCCCACCCCGCTATTAGATCCCCTGACTGAGCCAGTCCTAGGATACACTCTGCAGAGGCGTGGCAGCTATAAAGGGTGGTGATTGATCCTATTGTGTTCCTGATTCTATCAATAGGGATAAAGGATAGGGATTGCTTTGATGAGTTGTTTGCTCAATTATGAAAATGAGAATGTCTATAAGTCATTAGAGAATCAAAGGCTGGGACGCAATGATATCAGGAAGATTTAATGACCCAGAGGTTGAATCAAGGTCATTCCAACAGCAAAAATAAAGATGAGAAAACACTGAAGCAAGCCACAAAAACAGACTTCCAGCCCACCAATGGCAAACAGTATGGAAAAGGAGGATGAAAAATCAGATAGTGAGCCTCCAGGACAATCAGAACTCACAGCACAAGAAGTAACAAAACTGATCAATCAAGCTCTAGAAAAATTCAAAACAGAAATTATTTCTCAGTTAACCATAGATGGTGAGCAAAATGAAAGACATGATTCGAGAATCCAGAACAGAAACTGACAAAAAAACAGATAAGCTTAGGAACATAATAGAAACCATGAAGGCCCAGAATAAGAAGAAATGGAAACAATGAACACCCAACATAGGAAAGAAATGGAATCCATTAAACAGATTCAAACAGATATCCAGGAGATTAAAAACTCTACTGAAAGCATATGTAACGGAATAAAAGATTGCAAGGATAGAATCTCAGATATAGAAGATAGAATAGCAGACAGTGACCATGAAAAGAGAGTCTCTTAAAACCAGTAAGGGGTCATGAGAAATCGAACAAACAACTCCTAGATGATGCAAAGAAGAATAACATAAGACTGATAGGAATCCATGAAGTACCAGGAGAAAATGCAAAGGACTTAAAAAAGCTGTTCAAAGAATTAATGACAGAAAACTTCCCAAATAGAGGGGATGAATTAGACATACAGATAAGAGAGGCATATAGGGCACCAACTAGCCATGATAAAAAAAAAAATCTACACCTAGACATATAATAATCAAAATCCCAGAAATCAAACAGAAGAACAAAAACTACAAGCAGTAAGAGAAAAGAAACAAATCACATGCAAAGGAAAGCCCATCAGAATCACAGCAGACTTTTCAACACAAATCCTCAGATCAAAGAGAGCCTGAAGTGACGTATTTCAAGTCCTAAAAGAAAACAACCTACAACCACAACCAAGACTGATGTATCCTGCTAAACTC